CAGAGATCCCCCCGCACCCGGGGAGGAGCCCACGCCGGAGCTGTGGTGTGCCCGGAGGAGGCTGGGACCCCGGGGGAAGCCCGCGCTGGAGCAGGCTCCTGGCAGGAGCTGTGGCCCCGTGGGGAGAGGAGCCCAGGCTGGAGCAGGGTTGCTGGCAGGAATTGGGACCCCGCGGGGGACCCACGCTGGAGCAGGCTGCTCCTGATGGGAGGGACCCCACACGGGAGCAGGGGAGCAGTGTGAGGAGTCCTGCCCTGAGGAGGAAGGAGCAGCAGAGACGATGTGTGGTGGACTGACCCCAACCCCAGTTCCCCGTCCCCCTGCACCGCTTGGGGGGAGGAGGTGGAGAAATCAGGAGTGAAGTTGAGCCGGGGAAGAAGGAAGGGGTGGGGGGAAGGGGTTTTAAGATTTGGTTGGTTTATTTCTCATTACCCTACTCACTTTTGACTGGTAATAAATTAAACTGATTTTCCCCAAGTCGAGTCTGTTTTGCCCGTGACGGTAATTGCTGCGTGATCTCTCCCGGTCCTTATCTCGACCCACGAGCTTTTTCGTTACGTTTTCTCTCCCCTGTCCAGCTGAGAAGGGGAGCGACAGAGCGGCTTTGGTGGGCACCTGGCATCCAGCCAGGGTCACCCCGCCACACAGCTGCGTGTCAGAGGAAATTATTTCATAATCGGGCTTACCTTGATGAGAGTTAAATCTTCAAATACTTCACCTTACTATATGAACAAACAAAAATGTACACTTTTATAGAGAATAATGTATTATGCTAGGAAATATACAAAGACTCAGTTTACAGAATACTTACATCTTAGGGTGTGCTGGCTTTGGCTGGGGCAGAGTTAATTTTCTTCACAGCAGCTAGTACGGGGCTGGGTTTTGAGTTTGTGCTGGAAACAGCGCTGATAACACAGAGATGCTTTCGTGCCTGCTGAGCAGCGCTCACACGCAGCCAAGGCCTTTCTGCCTCTCACCCCACCCAGCACAAGGGTTTGGGAGGGGACACGGCCGGGACAGCTGAGCCCAGCTGCCCCCAGGGATATTCCATACCATCGGGCGCCATGCTCAGCGTATGGAGCTGGGGGAAGGAGGAGGAAGGGGGGACATCCGGAGCCATGGCGCTTGTCTTCCCAAGTCGCCGTTATGCGTGCTGGAGCCCGGCTTTCCTGGGGATGGCTGAGCACCCGCCTGCCCGTGGGAAGCAGGGAGTGAATTCCTTGCTTTGCTTTGCCTGTGTTCATGGCTTTTGCTTTCCCTATTCAACTGTCTTTACCTCAACCCACAGGTTTTCTCACTTTTACCCTTCCGATTCTCCCCCCTTCCCACTGCGGAGGGAGCGAGCGAGCGGCCGTGTGGGGCTCAGTTGCCGGCTGGGGTTAAAGCACGACAGGCAGTGGTGGTTGGGGGAGATGGGGAAGAGAATTGGAAGAGTAAAATTGAGAAAACTCTTGCGTTGAGATAAAGACAGTTTAGAGAAAGAAAGACTCATGGTAAAATTTTTACTGATTATTAAGGGCAGCTTTTTTGCACCATACGAAAAATGTAACCACTTCCCCTTTTTCATTTGGAAAAGTTGGGGGGGGGGGGGGGGAAGTATTTTCAGGTACGTAACATTTTCAGGTATCATAACAACCACACATGGAAAAGATCCTAGCCTACTGTAATAAATTATGGTTCATTTATCAACCCTGCAAAGCAGCTCCAATTCAGAAACATGTTTCACCGTCATGCAAGAGCTCAGTCCTGCCAAAAGCCATTCCTTGTCTACCCTTCTCCAGTACTTATCTGTGCCTTGCAGGGCACCGGGCATTTTTACAACTGATATCCCATTTCCTAAAAAGTTGAAAGACAGTTCACTTATTTTAGCACTCAGCCTTAGAGTTTATGCATCTCTTATAACCTGCCTGGATGAATTAAATATTTTATGGAACATTTCGTGCACTGCGTATGCTGGTATATGCATCGATGCCGATTACAGTCGGTAACTGGGTTACCCCACAGAAAACAGGGCACCATTATTTCCCTGGAACCAGTGCTCTGGTCACTCCCGAGCGCGCTCTCCACAAGCAGCCCCATGGGGCCCAGGACTGATCAGCTCCCGCTGATGCCCAGAAGGGAAGAGCGAGATGTCCCACTTCCACCCAACACCCATCCCTCATGTTTTTTGTAGCTACACATGGACAGAGAGTGGCAATTATCTGGAAGCTGCTTCTCCTGATCAGATGAGCTGTTCAGACAACAGATACTACCGCTGTCCGCATGCCATACAGCGGTCAGCGACAGGATACGCGGAGGCACTCAGTACCTGCCTCTTACAGTTGGGAACAGCATCAGGAGGTCAGTTTGGAAGAAAACGTGGAAGACGCTGCCTTGGACATCAGTCCTGGGGCATTGCAGTGGACCGTCTGTTTTATATAGTCCTTGATGCACGGACAGACGTCAGATCAGGCAGCTAGGGACCTGTACGCTGAAGACAACGGTGAAGGTGACCTTCATCCCAGTCATCCTCAAGGCTTTTCGCTCTCTGCCAGCCATTTAACACCGGCATCAGCATGCACACCTACATCAACCAAAATGTAGACACTAATGCACAAACTTACTGTCAATACAGCTGCAGCCTGAGAACCTCAAAAAGCAATCCATGTCTGCCCACAAAAGGACGGCTTGAACATGAGCCATTTCCCACATGGCAGCAAGCAAGGAGCCAGAAACCTAAGTCACATCAGTCGACAGGAAAATACAAGACAAATCACATGACTCAGTTAAACTTATACAAAAAGTTCTGTTTACAGAGAAATGCACTGGATTCCAACATTATACCTAATAAACACATAATAAATACAAAGCATAGCATGCAGCGGCAGCAGCCTCTGCCAGAACCAGAAAGTGGCTGTAACCAGCACGCTGTATCACCTGGCTGCACTGACACCAAAATAAACCAGAAATCCCATTCTGGAGATCAAAAGTCAGGCTTGGGTTCATGTGTCAATATTAACAGGCTACAGAGGGAGGGTACAGTTTCTGAGTATGTCGGTGCACATGATTCTGTAGCCAAGTAACCCCCTGTAAGGGTGGCTCTGAGCAGACTTTCCGGTCACGCATTTGACTGACTACTGCTGTCCAGAACAGGGGAATTCACACACACGAACAAGAACTCAGAGCTACATTTGAGGATTATCCTGGAAAACTGTCAGGAAACACTGTGTTTGTTCATCCCACATCTCTAAAGGAGCCAAATCGTAATGTTTTGGTGTGTAGGTGTAGGTGCCATCAGGTCTGCCACACACAAACAAAAAGCCAGAAAATGTGCCTGTCCTGATGGATGTGGTAATTTTTTTCTTTATTAGTAGAGGAGAAGGTAGTGTACTTTCTGACAGAGAGCAAAAGGAAGAGAGAAAAGCAAACGTGATTAACTAACTCGGGCAACACACGAAAATGAGGAAGGAAACAACACAATGCACCAACAGAAAAGTCTCATCTTTCTACGCATTTCCCCATTCTTAATACTTGGCTCGAGGCTTCCGTCAGCAGAGGAACAGCGGATGAACCAGAGATAGCCAAAGACTCCTCTCTGAAACAGTTGCTGCCAGGTTTGCTCAGGTACTTGCACGATCGGAGCGTTCATGTGGTGTGATGGGGCACTCGGTCACCTGGCTTTCAGGTGTAAGGGGCTGATAACCAGCAGCGTGCACCTTATCTTGAGAATGTTATTTAAATCTGTGCTGAGGAAGGAAAAATGGTGTGTGCTTGGTAAGAAATACCAGAAGTCGCTTCCCCAGAAGCGCCTTGCTTTTGGGCAACTCTAAAATTCCTATTCAATGTTAAAATACATTTCCATGTAAAGACAAACAGTGCTCTAGGCAATCTGCTGTTATACCTTGCTATTATATTATCTTAGGCCTCCATAATGGATATATACCATTTTGACTTTTCATTAGATGTTAGTTTGTAAACAATTTAAACTTAGGCAAAGATTTAGATTTTCTATGAACCAGAAGAGGAATCAGTCAGTCTATTTAATGCACACTCAGGTTTTGTGTTTATTTGGGTAAACCTGCCAGTCACTGTAAGGAACGTGTAATTTTAAATACAGCATGTTATGTTTTATGTTTTCTCTCTCCTTTTCACCCAAGTCTGTTTCAGACAATGGGAGACTTTGCAAACGAGAGTATTGCCAGTAACTCCACTGGAGCACCCTCCTCCGCACCATGCCACCGAGACACCAGAGTCACCCACCTGGTCTTCCCAGTACTGTATACGCTCGTCTTCCTTCTGGGACTCGTACTGAACAGCCTGGCTTTCTGGGCTTTCTTCCATATCCCAAGCACATCAACTTTCATTGTCTACCTGAAAAATATCTTAGTTTCTGATTTTATAATGACCCTGATGCTTCCTCTGAAAATCCTGACAGACTCTGGCCTGGGACCATGGCAACTCAAAGCCTTTGTCTGTCGCTTCTCAGCTGTAGTATTTTATGACACCATGTATATTAGCATAGTGCTACTTGGTCTCATTGCTTTTGACAGATTTCTCAAGATTGTGAGACCTTTTGGGAAGTTCTGGGTGCAAAACCTGACCTCAGCAAAGATCCTTGCGGGTCTGGTCTGGCTCTTCTTCTTTCTTCTCTCTCTGCCTAACATGATCTTATCAAACAAGAAAGCAACGCCCCAATCCGTGAAGAAGTGTGCCTCGTTGAAGAATTACTTCGGACTCAAATGGCACGAAGCTGTCAATTATATCTGTCAGTTGGTCTTCTGGACTGTTCTCATCCTCATGTTTCTATTTTATACAATTATTGCCAAAAAGGTGTATGAGTCTTACATAAAAACACAGAAGAAAGACAACAAAAGCGAACAAAGGATCAAGGGGAAAGTATTCATCATTTTTACTGTGTTTTTCTTATGCTTCGCCCCCTTTCATTTTAGCAGGGTTCCCTATACTCTGAGTCAAACGACCACCCGAATGGACTGCCGTCTGCAGAACCAGCTCTTTGTCGCAAAAGAAAGCACGCTGTGACAAAAAGAAGCGCCGTGGGGGCGGCCCGCCACAAACGTCTGCATGGACCCCCTGATATACCTGTTCTTGTGCAAACCATTTCTAGAAAAGGTTTTATGCAGGAGAGTAAAGACGTTTCAGAAAACAGTTGATACAACCCCAAAAACCGAACTGGACACACGAATGTCTGCTACTGAATCTTGATTCTGCGGCTGCACGCTCTACAGCCTCTGCATACTCATAGAGAAGTTAAAAGATAATTAGTTTTACTTCTGCTGTAGAAAATGAAAGGGCAGTGTACTGTAATGCTAATACTTAATAAAAACAGCACAATGGATTTCTCTATTTATGCTCGCTGCTTAACCTGAAAAGGCAAAAAGCTGTCACTCAACCTGCCGGCCGCGATCAAACGCCGATCCTCCCCGAGCCGTGCTCTCCCGCCGACACCACCACCACTGATCAAAGCTGTGGAAACCCGGCCGTGTCGTGGTTGTGCCTGCCCAGCCACAGCACTGCCGCACCCCCACCGCGAGATCTGTGTCACCTCGGAGTCGCTCGTGCGACTGCCCAGCCGTAACCACACTGGTCTGAACAGAAAAACAGCACCCATGATGTGTAAAACTAACAAGGATCGGTTTGTAGTCTTGCGTTGCTGCGCTGGCTCTGCGAAGCTAACGAGAAGAGAGGGTTTTCTGATTTGGTCACTAAATCATGTCCACCTCACAGAACACAGACAAACCATAGCCTATGAATTAAAAATACCTTCATATAACTTAAGACAATCTACAGAATAATTCTATCCACTTTAAAAAAAAACAAAAACAAAAAACAACTTACTTGTTAACACTTAACTTACTTGTAACACTTAAGCGGCTTACTGACTATGGCTGCTTCTAAGGACAATTTAGTTTTATTTGGGATTGAAACCCAGAGCTGTTGATTTCGTATGTCAGTAATTCTTACACCGGGTGTCAGCTCGGCTGGCACGTCGCAGGGCAGGGAAGAGGAGGAACTGTACTTGGCAGACGGAAGTAGGACACGGTCCCTCCCCATCCCTACCCACCCCTCTCACACCCATCATTACTTTCCTGCCGCCTACACTGTTTCACCATCCTTCCTCTCCACTCCCAGTGTGACTTTGGTGGAGGACGCAGCGGGCAATAACCCAGAGCCCCCCGGAGCACACGCCTTGTCCGGGCCAGCAGAAGACCCAGGGCTGCTCCCCTGCAAAGGGCAGCCCAGCGCCGCGCAGCGCTGACCCCCACCCTACCGCTCACCAGAGGGAACACCCAGACATGTCCCCCTCGGTGGCACGTTCACCCTCCCTAGTCCCAACGACGGGCAAAGAGAAAGCAGCAGGCAACGCCGCCTAACCCTCCCCATCCAGAAACCCCTCTCCACCCAGCTCACCGCACCACTCGCGGAGCTCTCCTCGAGCCATCCCACAGGGGAAGTCCAAACGGACCGTGCCTAAAAGAAACCGCTTTCTAATGCAAAATCCTGGAGCTTATTTCACTATTTTAAGACATGAAAGAGATACCAACCATTTATCGACTCAATGCATACAATGCATATTAAAAAAACCTGTTAAACTTACCTTAGCCCTCAGCAATGCTTCCTTGCTCCTCAAACGACACGTTACTACCGCTGCTTCTCCTCCGACATACCTGCCACCCCGCAGGACTGCCCCTGCGTCACGCCGCTCAGCTGACACGGCGTTGCAGCAGGGGCCTGGGGAAGGCACCACGACCCGCTCTCTTCGTCAGCCCCATCACCCCTCCTGCCCCCCGCCCGCGCCCAGGCACTCATCTCCTGCTGCTCGGGTCCCCAGCACCTCGCTGAGAAAACGCTCACGTCCCTTATTAACAAACTTCTCAAGCTCTCCTGCGAGCTTTATGCCTGCTCACACGTGCCAGACGCTTTGATCACCACCTGATTGCTATTTTTAGAAATTAAATCTTCACAGCAGCCTAATACAATCATGCAGGTTGCTCCATAGGGCCTGCTTTTTTCAAAGCTGTTTTTAGATTACTGTGCACTGACTACCTCTGCCTTTGGGATTCCCCAGCCCATGCCACACAGGTAGATGTGTGTCGGATTTGGCAATTTCCACTCACTGTATCTTCTCCACTAGGCATGTACACACTTTCCGTAAGTGTAACACCCTTTTACAACTGGAAACTGAACTAATCCCCAATCAGCTTCCAGCTGGTTCCGAACTTCCCTGTAAATCAATGTTTTCTCAGTGTCTTCCTCTCAGGATTAAATGCTATTCAGGAATTAATTCCTCTCTCCACACACACATACAGTTTTGAACAGGATTAACTTAGCCACTTTAGTAAAAGTAAATATATTAAATTCCTAGCTGCTAAAATAGTCACCACTTTAGCAACTGCTTACGAGGAGTCTGCAAAGGTTTCTCTCAGCCTGTTGACATAGCACAGCAATTAAGGTAGCGACCACAGCTAAACATCAGGAGAAGACGGTTTGTAAATTAGCTGTGATCTTCCACTGGGCAGGTGCCCATGGAAATCTGAATTCCTGAGCTTTGGGTACACTAGGGAAGAATTCAGCATGAAACTTTGCAGCGCCGTCCTGCCTCTGGCAAATGAATCGCACCAGCACAGCTAACACGGAGGTCCCCGGGGCTCAGCACAGACTTAGGTCCTGCCCTGGATTTAAAAGTGCAACTCTGGCCCATTTGTGTGGTTATTACAAAGACAGACAGTAACATAAAATGAGCAATAGGGCAGTGATAAACTATAAAAATGCTGAAGAACAGAAAACTTACTCCCCTGTGGAAGTTTTTTTTTCTCTTCTCATTTCTACTGCTTGTAACGCAACGCTCATTTAGCACTGCGCACAAACACGTACTGGCAGTACGCACAGCTAAGCACCAACAGCCTGCGTGTAAGGGTGGGTGTAACCACAAAATGGGCTGAGTTGCTCCTTAAAGAAGGGGTGTGCCAAAGGTTTCAGAGGAGTCTTAATCATCTGTTTTTCAGCTGCTGCTCCTTAGGTAGGTAAAAGGGAGCCAGAGTTACCAAACTCTGTAGCAGAGAAACGCAAGGTGACTGCAAGGATAACATCAAGGATAGGACGTCGGGTTGATCCACTTACAGAAAAAAAGGGCCCTAAATTCTAACATTTGGGATTTTGCACTTTTCTCTGCAAGTTTTTAGATCCCTGCCTCCAGATGGAAGTAAGAATCATTCATAACAGTTAAAATGCTTCAAAGTTTAGGTCTCTGCTTTTTAAGGCTCAAAAAAATAACCAAAGCAGTATTTTGTATTTTACACCTGACCACAATGGAGACCTGTTTTGAGAACAGACTTCCCTTGGAGCTGAGGAAGCCATCAGCCTCGGCCACAGGCAGTACCAGCAGCACGCCATAGGAAGCTGCTCTTCTGGGCTCTCCAGATTTCTTTAACGCAGTCAAGGAATTTCTGTAATTCAGTACAGTTTACCAGCACATTCAATACAACAGTCACCATTTTTCCAAATCTGATTTTTTCCCCACTTAACGTGGAAAGGCTGGTACTGACACTCAGGCCCCATGAGCTGCACAGAAACCTTTGCTCCTCCGAGATTCAGCAGTTGTACAAGACAGCAAACGCCGGTAACGTTCCCACCTTACGCGTGCTTACTGCAGCCCATCACCACCACGAGGCAGCAGCAGGGCTTCTCCTTTCCACATCCAAACGTTCGTTTGCTTGGCTTGTCTACGATCCAGACTAGAAGCAACAGACAACCTAGAAACTGGAAAACTGGCACCAGGCCTTAAGCTTGTTCAGACAAATGAACCTTATTCCAGGCTCCTATGGTCCAGGATTCACACGAAAACCATTGCACTTATTCTAAAGATTTTTACAGGTTGTTGGGCTCCCCAAAGGGGAACTACAGGGCACTAGGCAGTTGAGTTTTGTAGGAAATCAATCTTATTTGGGTACACAAAGGCTTACGTGTCTTTCTTTGTATTTTTTATTTTACTTGTGCTTCAGAAGAAGGAAATGTATTACACCTTTGCCTAATACACACACCATCTAGCCCTGCAGATTTCATATCGTACTGCTTCTCCTCAGAGGGACAGCAAGTCAAGTCATGAATGCCTGAAGACAAATTCTGCACTTCCTATGTGTCCCGACTCTCCGGCAAAGCGATACACATCCCTCCATCAATACTCCTACAACTCCCGAGTACTGAGAAAACTCTCATAGCAGACAGCAATACTTCAATTAATTAGAAATGCAAACCAACAATTTGCATCATGAACAATAGCTGGGAAGCCAAGTGGAGCAACCAAGATGTTACCCACACGAGTACACAGAAACGCACAGAGCCAGCAGGCTGCCCGTGAAAACGCAAGGCGCTAGGACAGACCCACGTCTGTAGACAGGGCCAGCCAGCCATGGCGCGCAACGTCAGGCTACCTAGCGACATCATGCGAGGAGCTGCAGGAGAGAGGGAAAAAAGAAATGAGCTTTTTACAAGTTAGTTCTTAACTA